CCCCGGGTGACCCAGCCCTCCGGCGGGACCCGAGCTGGGGTTCTAGGGTTCAGGGGGCGAAGGAGGCTCCCCGGAGGTGCCAGACCGGGGCGAGTTGGTCGGCGCTGGCAACCAACCCAGTGCAGCCCACGGCGGCGGCACCAGCCAGCGCAGCGGCGAGCAGCAGCAGGGACCGCGCCTCCGGTAGGCCAGGCTTAGGGACCTGCGGGCGAGAGGGCGGGTCAGCCCGCGCCCCCGGGCCGCGGCACGCCCACGCCCACGCCCACGCGCCTGCCTGCGCCGCCCCCGCCCCCCGAGTGCTGGGATTGGCTGTTCTTCTCCGAACTCCTCATTGGCTGCTTCCTCGCCACGTCGATTGGCGGCCGGAGCACCCACCCTGCCCGCGGCCGGCCCAGCCCCGCAGAGGTGCAGCGAAGCAGAGGCGGCTCCGGGCGCGTGCGGCGCGCCGCGGCCGGCGGGCGTGAGCAGCCGACGTACCCTGGCAGGGAGCAGCAGGTGGCGGCGGTGCATGGGGCCTGACCCCACCAGCGGGCATTGGCCCAGAGCCACGGCCGGGGGGCCATCTAGCTGGAGAGAGAAGGGACAGGTGACCCGATCGGAGCCCAGCCGGGCCGGCAGCCCTTGCCGGGGTTGGGAGGAGAGACAGCGAGGGAGTCGAGGTGGGGAGAGAATCTCGGGAGATCCCGCAAGGGATCCGGTGAGCGGCCTCAGCTGAAGGAAATCTAGTAGCCGAGCGGTGGGTGGCCACTGCGTGGAACCCCTAAGAGGCAGGGTGTGCCCAAATCTGGACGGGGAGATGGGATGTACAGGCTCTGCAGAGGGGGCAGCAGGCTTAATGAAGGGGAAAAAGAGGGGTCTTACATGGGAAGGTGGATCCGTGGCCCGGGGTGTGGGGGCCCCCGTGACAGCTGGAAGGAGAAGAGAGAGGCGTAGGGCGCGTGGAGGGACGGAGGTGGTGCGGCGTGCCCCAGCCTGGGCCCCTGGCCCTCCCCAGGCGACCTCACACCGCAAGCCCACCGCCCAGGCCCCAGGGAGAGGACGCGGACAGGAGACTCGCCTGCAGCTCCCTCGGCCTGCAGCAGCTCCACCTGCTCCCGCAGCTGCTGGATGTGCGCCTCCAGGTCCCGGTTCCTTGCCTGGGCCTCGCGGAGTTGACTGCGGAAGGTAAGGACATGAGCCCTGGGGATCCCCACGGGGGAGAAAGGTGTGGACAGGCCAGGCGCCCGCCCCAGCAGACCTGGCGAAGTTCTGGTTGGCAATGCGGATGGCCTCCAGCTCCTGGCTCAGGCTCGCCGGGGTAGACACCTCCTCCTCCCGAGCCTCCTGGAGGTCCCCTGGCATCACCTCCGCCTCCTCCACCACCGGGATGGCCACCTGGATGACCTCCGGAACCGCCTCCTGAATGGCCTTGGGAATGGTCTCCAGAACTGCGGCTTTGGCCTGCTCTCGGGGCGCAGGCTGAGGGCTGCCTGTGGCGTCTGCAGCGCTGGACACCTGCGCATAGGCCCAGGCCTGGCGTCCGCGCCCGTCCCCAGGCCTTCCTGGAATTCCCACAGCTCCTGCAATGATCCAGTCCCCTCCCTCCCTCACCCCAGCCCGGTCCCCCACTCTCTGGCCTTCAGGCAGCTCCCTTCGCTGCCTCCTTCCGAAGGGCTCTCTGGACACCTCGGTGAAGGCTGCTGCCCAGCCTGTCATCTAGCCCCCGTGGCTCAGGCGGAGGCCTGCTGCCCACGCCGTTTGGCTGCTTTCCTACCGGCCTCTCCAGCCGCCCCCGCCGTCCACCCCAGCAAGAACAGGCCGACTTCACTACCCTCCCTCCAGGCTCAGGAGCACACCAGCTGGTTCCAGCTCAGCCTTGACCCTTGGGGTTCTTTCTGTTGACTCCCAGGCACCTGCCTTCCCCTTTTAAGCCGCATGTAGGGTCCCCCCTAACACACACTCACTCCCTGCCCTGCCGAAGTAACTTAGGTTTTTGTCTCCTGTGGAATAAGCGCTCACAGGGCTTGGCAGTCTGCGGCCTGCCCCGGGAGCCCTGGCCTTTTCTCCTGGACTCGCCCTGACCGACCCTCTCCTCCACGGACTCACTGGCTCCTCCACAGGGGACACCATGGGCTCCAGGCTGGGCGTCTGCCCAGGTGGCTCAGGCATGGGCTCGGCCTCAGGCTGGACCTCCAGTTCCATGGGCGCAGAGCCTGGGAGCTCATCATCCCTGGGAGAGGCAGAGGGTGAGCGAACGAGAGCCAGCCCCACCCCCCACCCCAGAGAGGCTGTGACTCCCTGGGGCTCCAGCCAGCAGGCCCTGGGCAGCCAGACCTAGGCCACGGCTTGAGGAGGGAATGGGGCACAGATTTCCTCTTGTCAGGGCAAGGCCTGCCCTGGCCGCAGAACCCAAGGTGCCGCCTTCTCTGCACCTGCTGTGGGAATGTAGGATCCAGACACTATGTTCTGGGGCCCATTTCCTCTAATCCATGTGACCTTTGCAGACCCCTCTCCGTAGGCCCTCAGGACAGCGAGGGGGACCAAGTGAAGGAAACCCCACTCAGCTCTGGCCCTCTCCAATACAGCCTTAAGACCGAGTCCCAAGCCTGACTCCAGATACCAGCACACCCCCTCACCTCCACGGCTGGAGGGAGACACTGTTCTGGGGCTGAGATCACAGCCCCCCGGCAACCCAGCCACCTCCCATGGAAATGTGTCTCAAGGACCTGACGCTGGAGAACAGGTGCCTGCAGGAGCACCCCGCGGGGGGCCTCCCGAGGAGGGTGAACCTGAGCCCTGCTGAGGACACTGGCCAGGATCCTCTCACAGTTCAAGGAGAGAAATGGCGCCGGCAGTCCTTGTCCGGGGCGGAACAGGTGGGCATCCAGCCTGCTCAGCTACCAGGAGGGCACAGCCGCAGGGCGCCGCTCCCTTGCCCAGTCGTCTCTAATTTATTTGTGACACGTGAGCTACCATTTGTGTAATTAATGTCTTAAAAGGCTTTGTGCTTCCATGAGTGATTCAGTGAATTTGTATTCTCTCAACATTAACTTAAAAAGTCTCTGCTTCTCACTTCCTAAGGTTCTGAGGACTCATCACGGTACTGAAGCCTCAGTGGGAAGATTCTGAAAGACCAAATCTGGAGTTCTGAGGTTTTACACTTACGTCGAAAGTCTCAGATATTCGGGTCTGAGATTCTTAAGGTCTGACTGCTCTGAACTGAAGGTCTTTGGCCTCAAGTCCATAAACTCCAAGTTTCATCCTACAATTCTATGGGGCTCAGATGTGCCCCACAGAGGTGGGGACCCCTGAGCACGTGCCCAGAGCTTCTGGGGGCCACAACCCATGCACACAGGGCAGCACTTACCAGAGGGCCATGCAGGAGTAAGAGAAGCCCACGAAAGGCAGGTGCACCCCCAGCGGCATGCCTTCCTGCATATCTGACAGTGTCTCCTGCACGAGGGAAGCGCGGGCTGGAGGTGACCAGGCCTGGACCCCACCTCTTCCAGGCTTGGCTGACATGCTCCCCACCAGCCTAGCTTGGGTGCTATCTAAAGTGGCCCCACTATCACTTTTCTTATTGAATCCTGCTGCTGCAGGGCCCTAGCCCAGTATGTTTAGACATCTCTGGACGGCGGGTGGATGCTGGTGGGGGCCAGGGATGTGAGCTGGTGTGTGCTTCCCCAGCCGTGCCCAACCTAAGGGAACCCAGGCTGAGTGGGTACTCGGACAGTTTGACCAGCACTTGAGAGCGAGAATGACCTAAGGAAGAGAGCTACTTCTTTCCTCTCATCTTTCCAGGTTTCAGCCCAGATTGCCCCCTCCTCCAGGAAGTCCTCCAGGACCTTCCATTGAGGGCTTCCACTGAGGACAAGTCTGTCCCCCACTGCATTGTGAGTCTAGGTCACTGCTGTGTTCCCAGCCCAGGGAAGACACACAGCAGGTGCCCTAGGGAAGGAAGGTTTTCAGAACTCCTTTCAGTCCCCCTGCAGGTGGGGACTATTGACTCCGACTTTATACAGGTGGGGTGGAGGTGGGGGAGACCCTCTGCTGAACAGGAATTGTAGGTACCTACCCCGCCCCCGCTCACCATGGCAGTGAGCCCGTCCTCCACCAAATCAAAGTTGCATGTGTCCGTGGCACCTTCGAAATCCGGTGTAAAGGGGGGGACGCTGTCTCGGAGACTGTCCCAGTCGAGGCCAAAGAAAAAGGGATGCTTCCGGAAATCATCTGCGCCTTGCCGGCCCAGCCGTGTCTCCGGGGGACACAGTAGCCGCTGGATGAGGTCACGTGCCTCTTCTGGGACCCCTGCGTCGGCCAGCGGTAGAGACAGGTGCTCCTGATCGGAAAGCGAGGGATGCTGACCTGGGAATGCACGTGCCTGGAGAAACTGGGGTTCCTGGAGCCACCCTCACCTTATAGTGCACGATTTTGCCGTAGGTCTCTGCCTTGGAGTCGGCATAGAAGGGCGTCTGGCCGTAGAACATTTCGTAGGCGAACACACCTAGGGCCCACCAGTCACACTCGGCCCCGTAACAGCCTGTCCCGGGCCCGCCGCCCACTGCCTGCAGGATCTCGGGGGACAAGTAGTCCGGGGTGCCCACAGCCACCAGCGACCGCACCTGAGCCAACAGGACCAAAGCTGGGCTTGGCCCCACCCCCCAACTTTGGTCACACCCCTTCCCCCCCACCACCACAGCCCGGGGACTTATTCCCCCACCTGCACAGACTAACCCTGCCCACGATGCCACATCTGGGTCCCCTCCTCTTCCTTGCCCCTCCAAACCGAGTCCTGCTCCCACACTGGAGGTGCCCGTGCCTCAGCCCCAACCCCACACCGCGCCTCCTGGTCCCGCCTGCTCCACGCCTCACTGGCGGTCCCCGGGTGGGCACGCCAGCTCACCGTTCCGTCGGCGCGCAGTTTGAGGCAGGAGCCGAAATCCGCCAAGCGGATGTGGCCGCAGCAGTCCAGCAGGATGTTGTCGGGCTTGATGTCCCTGCGCAGAGCCCGGAGGGAGGCGGGGTGGGAGGAGGGACGCTGCGCCCACCCCTCACGGGCTCCACCCCGACAGGCCACCCTTCAGGCCCCTCCCGCCCGCCCGCCCGCGAGACCGTCCTTCCTCCAAGTCCACCCCTCCAGGTGCCTCACCTAGGGTTTGCCCCCTGCGGGGAGTCCACAGTTTTCAACCCCATTCCTCAGGTCCCCGTGGGCCCCAACCCACGCGGCCCCTGTCTAGCCCTGCCCCTCGCCCCGCAGCGCCCACCTGTGCACATAGCCCAGTCGGTGCACCGAGTCTATGGCCAAGACAATCTCCGCCAGGTAGAAGCGCGCCATCTCGGCCGGAATCCGCTCCCCGAACTTGCTCAGCAGCGTTAGCAGGTCCCCGCCCACGCAGTACTCCATGACCAGGTACTGGGAGGGGGCGTGTCACTGTGGGGTCGATAGGCCCCCTCGGCGCCCAAAGCTGATAGCGGGAAACTCCCAGAGATGCCCCATCCCTGGGCAGGGACTCGCAGCCCAGTCCAAGAGCACGGAAGAGCTCTCCAGAGCAAAATCAGAGATCCACCCCCAAAGAAGCCCCGTTCTCGCGGGGTACCACAGGAGGGGGCACTCCCAGAGTCAGAGAAAGAGGATCGGAAACCCCCAGGTGCCAGAGGACTGAGCCGGGCAGGAGCGTCCTACCAGTGACCCCTCATGTAGACTAGTCTATTCCACTCCAGATACGAGACTCCCCGATGACAGCGGCATCTGTACACAGCCCCCCCGGAACGGCCAGGGAAGAGCCGAAAGGGACATCTCCCCTCCCGGTCCGAGGCAGGAGGCAGGAGCCCACATCCGCCGGAGGCAGCTCCTGCACCCTAGACCCTCATCCCCCAGCCCCACCCCCTGCCCGCTTCCTTCATTGCCAGCTTGGGGGTACTTTCCTAGGACCCCAGGGGCTCACCAGGTAATTTTCGTCCTGAAAGGCGAAGTGCAGCTGCGTGATCCAGCGCCGGTCCCCGTTCACCAACACGTCCCTCTCTTCCCGGAAGCAAGACACCTGGGGGGCACCCGGAGGCCTAAGAGGGTAGGTCAGGGGCGGGGTCCTGGGCGCCCTGCACATTCACACCTGGCCCTCACCTCGCCTCTCTTCAGCATGTCCCACTTATTCATGATCTTCATGGCGTACACCTGACCCGTCTGCTTCATCTTCACCACCGCTACCTGGAGGCCAAAACAGGGTGACCGCCGCGGAGGTGGAGGCGGTGGGCCCAGCTTTCGCGGGGGTAGGATACCACCCCTAGCTCCGCCCAGAAGTGGCCCCGCCCGTCGACCGCAAGCCCCGCCCCAACCCGACGGTTCTAAACTCATTCATCAATTTCGAGAGCCCCGCCCCAAACCCTTAAGTCCCGCCCACTGCTAGTGAAGTTGCGTCTCCGCCCACCGAGGCGCTCAGGACTCACCTCACTGAAAGCCCCGCGTCCGATCACCTTCAGAATCTCAAAGTCATCCCTCTGCAGTCGGGCCTCCTTAAGCCTCGCCGCGATGGGGTCCACTGGGGCGGGGAGGTGAGAAGCAAGGGTCACCCGGACTGACTGATGCCAGAGGGGAAGTCCTACGTTCTGCGCTGCCGCCGCTCTCCTGCCCCTCCGTTTCTCCTTAGGACTGATGGCCTCTCCGGGCTCCCAGCACTGACAGTGTGAGGTCCTGGTCACCCAAAACTGCCCCACCGCAAAGCCAGGTGGGATGCCTTGAAGTCCCTTTCTAGGACAGGGACTGGGCCAGATGACTCTGGGGTACAGGCCCGGGGAGGGGTATCAAGTCTGCAGGAGGAAGGCCCAGAAGAACAGGAGAAGAAATGGGGGCCCCCATTGTAAGAGCCCCCCATTGCCTGTGACAGTGAGCCTAACCCACCCCCCCAATCTCATCTTATGCTGCCCACAGCAAGTGAAGTTTCATCCAGTGCTTCAGGGTTCCAATGTGGGTAGCCTTGGACCACACTTTGGGAAACTACCCACACTTTGGTGGAAATGGAGGTGGTCCAGTGGGAACAGAAGAGGGAAACAAAGGATAAGTTGGGGCCCGGCTCTGGGGCTCTGTTCAAGAGGTGTCTCTGTCCCCTGACCCTGGGCTGGGGGCTTTATCATTACCCCTTTCTGCAGGTGGGGATCATGGCAGACACCTAGCTAGGAATGTTAAGAGGATGGGCTTGGGAAGTGGGGAGTTGGGGGGAGAAAGGACACTCAGGGACCTGGGGAGGGGGAGGCCTGGACCCCCAGGGGTTGGAAGAACCTGGGATCCTAGGAGGCAAGATGGAGAGAGGAAAGGGGGCAGATAGGAATGAGGGGAGACAGTGGGTGGAGAAGACAAGCCCCCATGGGATTGGGGTTCAGGGAGAGTGGGCCAGCAGGGAAGCATCAGCCCTGGCCCCGGGATGGGGGAGGGAGGAGAGAGCAGAGACATTGAGCCCTTTTAAGGCAGTGGGAACCGGGCCCCCTCCCCCTCCCAGGACGCCTGCAGGGGAGGGGCCGCAGGATGCTGCCAGGCCAGAAAAGGAGAGCTCTTTAAGGGACAGCCAGACCCCTGCCCCCACCAGGTCTCAGTTTACCCAGTGCTCCCAACTTCATCCCCAGCGGCAAGGGGGCTGGGAGAGTTGACAAGGCTGGGGGAGTGGGGAGAAGGTCCTTGGAGAGGCTGAGTGGTCAGGCCCTGGGCCTCCACCTTTCCATCTTCAAAATGGGAGCAGGGACCTGCAGGGCCTTAGTCAGAGGGCCTTAAGGAAAGAGGGAGAAGGTAGAGACAGGGAGCTCTCTGGGTAGAGAGACAAGGCCACATGTCACCCAAGACCACGAGCAAGCCACACAGGGGCAGGGCAGTGGGGGTGCCAGAGACACCCCGAGCCCAGTGGAGCTGGAGTCCTGGCCAGGAGCGTGTGGGGGCAGCCAGGTCCAGGGGCTGAAATCTAGCATTTTCCCTCCAAACTTGTCTCCAGGGGCTGACTGGGCCAGAAGGGACTGGACGTGGCTGGAGAGCTGGAAGGTTGGAGCCTGAGAACAGGGCCTGGTGTCACAGCTATCTCAGGCCCACTAGTAGTGACGGACAGTGGGGGCACCGGTTGCTTCCCGTTTCTCCTCCACAGGGGTGGTGCGGGAGAGGGCCGGGCCGCCGGAGCCACCCTGCCCTCCCCGCGCCTGGCGCCTGTTGGGCCAGCTGGAGAGGCTGGTGCGGAACACCTGCTTGTCGGCTGCGCCCCTGGCAGCTGCCCCACGCTGTCCCTCCCTGCTTGCCCCGTGCTCTGGGAAACCAGTGGGGAGGCCTCTTTGGTGGGGGGACTCAGAGGGCCCCCTAATGTCTCCAAGCCTCAACTGGGCAGAGGGTGCAGGGAACTCTGGGTCTGGTCCCGCCCGGCCGGGCTCCCAGCTCTGGCTCTGAGCATGGCTGCCCTGGTCTCCGTGACCCCTCTCTGCCCTGCCAGGGTGGCACAGGGGAAGGGGTGAGCCACCCTGAGAACCAGGCCCCAGCTCAGGACACCTGCAGGGGCGGCTCTCCCTATGTCCATTCTGGCCCCACTGGTCAGTCCTTATGCCCAGCCTTGTTGCCTTGGTCCCCACACCACCCCCTCAATCTGGGGGAGCCCATGCAGGCAGGTACTCACCCCACTGCAAGAAGTCGGCCACGTACTTGTCCTGGGCCAGATCCGAGGCGCCCAGCTCCTGGTGGACGCCCAGGAGCAGGTCGAGCAGGGGCTCCAGCCCCAGGAAGCCGGGGTCCAGCACCAGCTGCCGGAGCCGCCGCAGCCGCACCTCGGCTGACATGTCGGCCAGGCAGCACCATGGCCCCTCCCGGGCCGGCGTGGGTCCTCCCGTCACGGGCCCTGGCAGGCCGGGTCCAGACCCACGGGCCCTGCTCTCATGTCTGCCTGTCTCTGGCCGTCCCCAGCCTCTCTGGGCACCTCTGCTGGCTGCCGGGACCTCCTCTCCCAGTCCCCACCCCTCCGCCGGCCTCCTCCCGCCTCCCGGTCTTAACCCCTAACAAGCCAGGCCCCCCAACTCCCTCCTCCCAGGGCCCCTCAGTGTGATGGGGGTGGAGAATCTCCACTCGCACCCCTCCATGCACCCCTCCATAAAAAGGCGAAGCCAGGAGAAAAGCTACAGGTGTGACAGATGACAAAGATGAGCCCTCCCATTCCCCAGAGGGGGCCAATCGAGGTTGAGTGCTAACACCCCTCCCAGCCCTGAACGTGGGGGGAGGAGAAAGGGGTGAGGCCTGGCATGGGGAGCAGTGGCCAGGACGGCTTCACGGGTGACTCAGCCGCGGGTTCAGGCTTCCGAGGGTTTAAATTTAGCCCGCAGGCCCTCTGCTCTGCGTGACCTTTTTTTGGCAGGAGGTGGGGAAGGGGTGGTGAGAGAAGGGAGGCCCTCAGGAGCCAGGGTGACCGCTAGCCAAAGCCTGGGGGAGGCAGGGAGCCCCCAAAATAGCTCCCTGCCCCTGGCGGCATAGCCACATTCCTGCCCCAGCTAGGATTAGAACCAGAAACATTTCGGGGGGTGGAGGGTGGTGTGGGGAACCACTCCCAGCGCCTCTGGAGCCAGCCCGGAGGGCTGTGCGTTCCTTCCGGGTGGACCCGGAGGGTCCCAGTGTCTCCAGCCAGCTCTGGACACCTGGGTCCAACAGTCTGCTCAGACTCGGGGTCTGCCTAGGGGACCCCATCTGGACAGGTCCCCAATTTGGGTAATTGGGGCACTTTCAAAAACGCGAACTCCAGCTCAGGACTTTGAGAGGGGCCCTGGCAGCCCTCTTCCCTCTAGAGCTGGGGGCCCTTGGGACACTGCTCTGGCCAAAGGGCCACTGGGGCTGGTGGGTGCCCAGCCGTGGGCTGCCCCTCCCCCTACTTGTTCCCTACCAAGAGGAGGTGTGGAGGGGCTGACTGGGGGAGGCGGTGCCCGGTGTCCGCTGGGCTCCTGCGTGCTGAGAAGTGCGCACGCGCCCTCCACGCCTCTGCAGAGCCAACAGAGACGCGGTGAAAACAGGGAACTTTAGTATAAATAAAAGGTCCTGGGGCCAGGGAGGGCCCCGAGGGGCTTCCATAATTTAACACTCTTCAAACGCACAAACAATAGCAGGGTGGCCAGTCCGGCCACTGGACACTGCAGGGGTCTCCCGAAGCGACCAGCCACATGCTGGGGACAGGGAAGAGCTAACACTGATGTTTCCGAGGAGGGGGTCGTCGTACTTGGCAGTGGGTGGGGACAAGGCTGAGGCCACAAGAGCCCCTCCACCCCCAGGTCTGGGCAGAGGGATTCCCTCTGCCCCCCAGGTCTGTGCAGGGCGGGGCGGAGCAGTCTCGTTAGTCTTGTTAATAGCTGATCCGTGAAGTCCGCAGGGAGGGTTACAGCCAGGCGCCTTCACACCACTGTGCCGCCGGGGGAGTTGCCTGGCTGGGAGGAGATGCCCTGGGGAGAGGAGAGGGGAGGGTTAGCGGCCACGTGGCGGGGCCCACCCGGGTCCCTGCGGCTGCTGCCACCTTGGTGTTGCCCTTGGGGCCGCCCCGGACCCCCAGACCGAGGCCCCTCCTCCAGGCGCAGGGCTCAGCCGGCACCTACAGATGAGGATGAAAGGAAAGGCCTCAGGTGGTCCTGAGCAGGGGTGGGTGAGGTGAAGGTGGGGGCACAGGGAGAGACTGGTCCCATCTGACTGGGGGTCCTGAGACTCTGGTGGGGCGTAGGGGGCCGTAACTTAGGCCAGTCCTACCTCTACCACTGACTCGCTGGGTGACCTGGGCCAGCTTCCTTCCCCTGTCTGGGCCTCGGTCTCCTCGTCTGTGAACTAGCGAGATAGAGGGGTTCTCCTTCAGGAACGGCCCCGCACTCCATGACCCCGCACTCCTGCTTTGGAGGTGCTGCATCTTGCTCCAGTTCTGGGGACCCTGCCGCCCCCAAGGCACCCTTCCAAGGCACCGCCTGAGGCCCTGGGCTCCAGCACCCTAGGCACCTCCACCAGAGCCGAGCAGCCGAGCCAGCGAGACCACAGCTCCCAGTTCACCAGGGGCCTGGCCTGTGCGCGCCTGCGGGACGGGTCCGGCCCCTGCGGCCACCCTGGGGCGGGTGCAGCCCCTCACCCTGTGCTCAGGGGAGAGCAGCTGTGAATGGCCCAGGGCTGCACCGAAAAACCCCGGCTTGGGCCGGCAGGGCTGGAGCTCTCACTGGGCCTGATACTCAGGCTGGACAACCCAGGGCCACACTAGACCCCAGGGCCTAAACCTTCAGGAAGCATCACCATTTGAAAACCCCACGTCTGGCTTCAAGGGACAAGCTGTGAGACGGTGGCTGGACCCCCTCAGCCGCCGGGCCTCTCCCACCCCACCCTCTCAGCTGCCGTCCCCCAGGGCTCCAGCCTGTGGCTCGGAGTCCAGGGCCGCCCCGAGGCGAGGGCCTGGCAGGGAGCCCAGGGGGCCGCGGCCACTCACCGCCTTGCCCGGCCGGGCCCAGGTGCAGATGAGGCCCTCCTGGCAGGCGGTGATGATGCAGTCCTCCAGGAAGAGGAGGACCGTGAGCCGCTCCTGGGCAATCTTCTTACACACCAGGGGCTCGAGCAGCGGCACCTCGTGGATGCGTGGGCACAACGCGGTGCCCAGCACCTTGGCGGGGTCCAGGCGGCTGCGGGGGGTGGGGCCGCCGGGCTTGTCGCCGCCGCCGCCCCGGCTGATGTTGCCCAGGCTGTGGTAGCGCTTATGCTCCTTCTCCGCCCCCCGGTCCCGCCGCTCCTGCAGCGTGAGCGTGGCGAAGCGGCCGACGCCAAAAGGCGTGCCAGGCTCTGGGGTGGCGCCGGGGCCACCTGCCTTGCCGCTGCCCGCGGGGTGTGGAAGGCTGTTGGAGCGAGACAGGGAGCGGGGCAGGGGGCCGGGGCCGGGCTCGGCCCCCCGGGAGCTGCTGCCAGGGGCCGGGGGCGTGGTGCCAGGCGTGCCGGGGAGGGTGCGGGTGCGAGCCAGCGGCGGGTGCGGGTAGAGCACGTCTTCTGTGAGGTCCCACAGGCAGAACTGCGTGTCCTGGCCGGCCGAGCCGAAGCGGTAGGTGATGGAGCCGGCCTTGGGCAGCGGGGAAAGTGGGGCACCCCCGCCTGAGCCTGTGCCCCCCGCCTCAGGCTCCTCCTCCTCCTCCTCCTCCTCGCCACTCCGGTCCCCATCGCCGCTGGCTGCTGAGGCCTCCTCGGCCCTCGTGGTGTAGGGGTCGAAGGCCACAGCATTGACCCAGGACTTGTGGCCGTGGCCGCGGGCCACCACGCGGCCCTCCGTGAAGGACCACACGGTGACCAGGTCATCCTCGCCGCCCGTCACGACGTAGCGCCCGTCGGGGCTCCAGCACACGCACAGCAGGCCCCCAAAGTAGCTCTTCATGAGCCCGCGCAGGAGCATGGAGTCGAAGTGAAAGACACGCAGGCAGCCGTCCTGGCTCACGCAGGCCAGGTGGCGGCCGTCGGGCGAGAAGGCGAACTCGTTGAGGGGCCCCTCGCCCACTGCCCACTTGGCCAGCGGGTTGCGGGGCGCCTTGCTCTTGGCAGCGTAGACGGCGAAGCCCTCGCCCTGCTTCAGCAGGCTGTACTGCGGCGGGGCCGAGGCGCACGGGTGGCTGACGTTGTACAGGTACAGGTGGCCGCTGGCGTGGGAAGCCAGGAACAGGCTCTCCGACTGAGGCAGCCACTTCAGGTAGGTCACCTTGGTCTTGTCGATCAGCCGCTGCCGGGGAGACAGAGGGTTGGGAGAAGGCTCCGCACCCCTGGGACCTGCTCTCCCCAAACCGTCCCCGAGGCCGGCCCTCCAGGACACAAGCGCCCCACGACGGCGCCGGCCGCAGGGCTGCGGGCCAGAGGTGGGACTGGACAGCAGGGCCGAGCTCCAGGGCTGGGAGGAGGGGGCATTTCTAGGACGTGTGCGCCAAGAGCGCACCCGCCCGTGCCCCTCTGCTCGTCTTCCTCACCCTCACAGCCTTCCACAGCCCGGGGAGCTGGCCTCTTCTCACCCACCCCCTCAACCCCCTGCAGCGGCCACTGGCGCCCCAGCTCCGCTCTCTGCTCGGTGGCACCAGAGACACTCGCCCCGCCAACATGGCGGCTCCAGCAGCGGGCCAGGCCAGCGCAGCCCTGAAGCCCTCGGGCCGCAGCCACTCTTCACAAAGAACCAGGTGCTTGCCAACCACGGAAGTCGCCTCTCATTCTTGGGAGAACTGAGAGAAGGACCCCACTGTTTCTGTTCGGGGGTCACACGAGTCTTCTTCCCCGGCTCACAAGCCTGACACGACGCCCAGTCACTCGCGGGGACACTCCTGCTAGTCGCCCCTCAACAAGCAGCCGCCCCGCCTCACCGCCTCTGCTTCCTGCATCAGAGCTCCCGTCTGAGCTCCTCCTCCACTCAGGACGTGCTGCCGCCAGCTTTCCCCACCTCCCTCAGTCTTACCTCCACTGTCACCTCCTAACGAGGAGCTCCCTAACCACGTCTGCAGCCTTGCGAAGCACTGCCGGGCTGGCGTTCTCGCCTCTGCCCTCACACAGCACAGCGCCCACAGGCCTGCCAGCGTCTGCCCGGCCAGAGCCGCTGCCAGAGGTAGGCCTCATCCCTGCGGCTGTTCAGAGCTGCTGTCTTCGGTACACAGAACCCTCTCCATGCTCCCTAAAGGTTCAGTGAATGGGGCCTCCCTGGTGACTTGGGGTGAAGTCCACTAGTTTGATCCCCGGCCAGCGTGACCCACAGGGCGCAGACCTCTCCTGCCTCCCTGCTGCTCCCCCCAGCAGTGTGTATTTCAGTCAGTCGGCCTGTTCTGCTCCCCATTGTCTCTGGTGAGCCCTCTCACACCCCACCCCCACATCTCTAGCTTGTACCCTACTTTTTATATGCATAAAACTTAAAAAAAAAAAAAAAAAAGAGGTTCAG